ACCGCAAGAATAAAAAGTACTTTAACCCATATAAAAAATCAAAAAAATTTTTTTTATTAAATTGGCTAAGCCACAATATCGATCACCCAAATTTGGACTTGTCCACCATGCTGTGTGGCGCAGTATACTCCAAAATATAGACATTTACCTTTAGAAGTTCTTGACAATATAAAATTTTTTACTGTAGATAGTCAGATGGGTGCAAGAATACAATACCATTTATTAGCAGCAAAATATCCAGATATCTATATTCACAAAAGAGATTTATATAATGCTATTTATCGTTTTAAAGCTACTTTAGCTCATCAATGACAAGGTAATGGACAATCAATTCTTAATAAGCTTTTGGAATTACAGTGTGAAGAACTAGGATGGATTATTAAAACATGTCTTGAAGGGCCAGATAATCGATTAGTTGGGCTGTTCTGGATAAATCTGATGCAAGTTCAACTTCTTATTAAGTATAAAGATGTGGTTATTTGTGATAACACTTGTAAAACAAACTGGTACGATATGTATCTTAGCCTTCTTGTCATAGTAGATAATAATACCAGAACTCGTTTAGTTTGTTAAGGGCTGTCAGAGGATGAAACTAGTGATAGTTATCAATAGTTTTTTCAGTGTTTAAGAGATGCTATTAATGATATAGCATCTCAGGTATTATTTTCGGATTCTGAACTAGCTTTAATTAATGCTGTTTCTATTATATTTCCTGAAATGAAGCATTTTTTGTGTATATTTCATATTCAACAAAACATACATAAAAAATTCAAACAACTTTTAGGAGCTAGTTATGAGGAGTTTATTAAACTGTTTTATAGAACAAGAAATAGCTTAAATGAATTGGATTTTGAACGTCGTTGGAAAAAAATGATTGAACAATTTTCTCAAACAAGTAATTATTTACAAGAAACTTTATATCCAAATCAACATACTTGGGTTTTATAGTATCAAAGTCTTTGGTTTACCACTAGTATACAATCAAATCAAAGAATTGAAGCACTTAATACATTACTTAAAACAGGTGTAGATCATATATCATCTTTATGTTATTTGTATGAAGAATGTCAACGACTATTCAATAATCAGTTACAATATTCCCAGCTTGAAGAATATCAGAATAGTGTACCTACTAGAGGATTACCAATTGCGTCACAAGTTATATTTCCCCAAATTGATTCTATATTAATTAAGTTTGTAACATCTCATATATTGTCGATACAAAGACAACAAATGAATGAATTATTACTTTATCATGCAGTATGTTTAGAAGTACTTGAGTTTAGTAATAATGAGGTAATTTATACGTATTATATTGCTTTGTTAGTTGATAGCATTATTTATAACATTAATATGTATACTTATTAAATATTATTATCATA